GATGCTGTATGACCCTGTCCCTGTCTGAACTTGCTTTGTTCCAGCCTCACCTTCCTCGACTATGCCAGGCTCCGACCCCCTCAGGGCCTTAGCACTTGCTGTTTCCACTGTTTAGAATGCACTTCCCTTTCTCCTTCACTCTCTGCTCCATTGTCACCATATCAGAGAGGCCTTCCCTGACCTTAATAAGGCAAATGCATCAACTACCTTAGTCAGAGGCCTTCCCTGGCATCCCCCACCCCTGCATCGCTCTGCTTTATTCCCCCTTATCCTGCTTTATATTTCTTCACAGCACTTATGTTACCACTTCACATAAATATTAATTTATTTATTGTCTGTCTCCCCTGATTATAATATAAGTTTATTAAAAGCGTGAAGTTTATTTTGTTCAGTGCTGTGTCCTTGGTATTAGGGCATGTCAGACACACAGGAAGCATGCGATAAATATCACACATGGTGTGCGATAAGGATATATTATGAATAAATGTGCACAAACAATAGAAGCAGTGCTCTTATTTATAATGTGAGATGTTGAGGGAGCCATTGTAATTACCAGTATAAATGCAAGAACATGAATGAATAAAGCATTGTTTGTTATATTTAGATGTCTGTGAATCTAAAAATAATGCAAGCAATAATAAAGTAATCGTTATGAACTTTGTTTCTCATTAAGCATCAAAAGTCATATTCTTATTAGGCACATTCACACCCACACAACCCTGATCAGTGCTACTCTGGGCATTTTTCTGCAATCCCCTCTAAAGGTGTTCAGCAATTATTATTCTCACATGTAGGAAATCTTGTCTGTGGGATAGCTGCAGGCTGGCAATAATGGTGATATTTACATTTCTGGAAACAGTGCAAATTGCAGATTCTCAGTATTATGGTAGCACATAATTAGTATGAAAAGTGAGAAGAAATGTCATGCTAATAAAATAAGATCTTAACTGCACTGTCAATAAATTTGAACAAAGATTCAGGAAATAAATTATGAATATTTAAGGTTCAAATGTGGTGTGCTGCTGTTAAGGCCACTAAAGTAGAGGACACTCACATACTCGCCCAGTAAGTGAACCAATGGATCCATCTTCCATCATAGGAAGTGGAAATGTTTTGGGGTAAGAGACAGATAGAACATTTATCCCTTCAGTTACTTTTGCTTTTTGAGAACATATTTAGTGATTCTTCCATTCATTCCATAAAGAATTTAATGTTATTTTCAGTCTGAGATTCTCTGACTGTATCTATCTCCCTTCCCATTATTTATTGGTTTTATTTCCTGGGAAAATTACTTCCAGTTTTTGAAATACGATAAATAATGAAAGGGGTGCTTCTTGTTCAAAGATGTTACTGTCTTAAATTCATAGCTATTTTGAATATTTGTTTTTGTTTGATCTGGTGTCTTCACACATTGTCTGCCTTAGGGTTTGATGTTTCCTTTCGGAGCCAGAAGGCCAGAGGCCTATTATCGAGGCTGTTGGAATGCTGTTGCTTGTTCCCTGAAATGCTGGGAATTAAACCACAATTTTAAACAGAGAGCACACACCCATGAAAACATCCAGACTCACTTTGGATTAGTCACTGTGCAAAAGAAAAAAGGCAAAACAGGATTACATTTTCTCTTAGTTCATATTTATCTATCTTTATAATATAAAGATATGAGAGATGGTTAGTCTTCAATTAGTTTTTAATCACTCCAGACTTAATTATTTTTATTTCTTACATATTCCTACTAGTCAAGATCACAGTGCAGTGGAAAATGCCAACATAAGCAACATACCACATGTTTTTATGGATTATCAAAGTATTTGAATATGATTTTTCTTTTTTAAAAGTAACTTAAATTAATATGAAAAACTTCTAATATTAAGGAATATGTTTTGCCCTAAACATTATGTAGTTTATTGCATCACATTTTTTGTGATCAGTAAGAAATAATTATTCTAATCATAAGTAGAATGCTCTCCAACACAATTCTAACAAAGATTAAATCCACACACTTTTGGCATCGCTATTTTTGACAACATCACTTATTAACATTCATAAAGGTGAAATGGGCTCCTATTGAAAAGCATTTCATTAAAACCTCAGTGCGCTCATAAAACCAAATTAATGAAGGTAAACTAAAAGTTATTTTATTTTGTTATTCAACAAATACTTACATAGCACTCACTATGTGTCAACCGCTCTGCTTTAAGTACTTTACAACTGTCAACTCATTTAATCCTCATCACACTCCGAAGAGATAGTTAATATTCCCATTGACAAACAAGGGGACAGTTTAGTAAAGAGTCTAAAGTCACACGGGTAACACGTGGCAGAAGCAGAATCCTAACTCAGGAGGTGACTCGGAGCCTGCGTTCTTTTCCTGTGCTCTTCGGCCACTCGGTTGCACTTTGTGTGACTTTCTGTGTGTTTTCTGTTTTTACTTGCTGCAATGGCATCATGTTACCCATGCATTTTGTAACACTGACTAATCTTCTTCCTTTGCATCTCATTTGCCTCACTTTTCTGTTTCTTACTCACTTGACTGGCTAAAGCAGCTGACCTCTGTAAATTAGAGAATCCAATGTGTATAATAACTAGATTAAGTTTTCATTCTCTTAGATGTCTGTCTAAAGGATGGAATGTGATTATTTCCCTAAAGTATTTGCTATAAAGGTTTGTATTTCCTTTGATAGGAAGTAGTATACAAAATTACTTAAGATAGCAACTTTACTGTATTTAAATATTGACAAAACAAAGGAATCTTGGAGAATTGAGGGAAACTTTTCTAAAGGCTGCCTGAGAATTTTGGCACATTGTTGGATATTTTTGGCTGTATCCGAGCTTATTAGGCTTTTGTATGAGAGGCACATATCACATTCTAAACTCTATTACGTGTGAGAGATTAAAAAGCTATGTAGAAATTAAAAGTTTCCTTCGGTTTTCTCTGTGCATAGATTCCTGATCGCTGTGTAGTGTCACTAATGGTGACCCGGGAAGGTATCTTGTATCAAATTTTATTCAACCAAGAGATTCCTGTTTTTAACAAACTTAAAGAGAAAAATCAAATGGAAGATTCCACTGTGGATAAAAACCCAAACATTATCTTAATTTTGGGCAAGAAAACCCAAAATTGAACCCATTTTATGTACTGAATAAAGCTCATGGTTTTCAGGATGTCTTGAATAAGTTAGTAATTCTTTAACATTAAGAAACAAGTCCAATGCTTAAGGATCAAAGAAAACGCAAAGATACCCCTTTTTTGATGGTCTATCCCAGTCTTGAGGAATTTTTTTTTTTAATAAAATGTTAGAATTTATTATACCTGTGTGCTTTTGTTCTTGTGTGCAATCTGCCTGAGAACACTTTTCATTCTTTTTCTTTTCAGATGACAGAAACGATGCTCAGGAGAGTGGCTTAAGAGACTTAATAAGAGAACTGCCAGACGCCCACTACTGCCTCCTCAAGTACCTGTGCCAGTTCTTGACAAAAGTAGCCAAGCACCATGTGCAGAATCGCATGAATGTTCACAATCTCGCCACTGTATTCGGGCCAAATTGCTTTCAGTAAGTTAGTGGCGCTTTGCTGTTAATATCATCACGTACCCCACTTCCTTTCCTAATGCCGGAAATTACTGGGCTATAGAGGAATATTTCAGACTGAACAGTCAATCAGCTGATGTTGGAGAAGTTCCACCTTGCTAGTGGGCATTTTAGCCTTGTTTTTTTGGTCCCAGTTTTGAAGAGGGCAGATATGCCTTTTGATGAAACCATAATGTGTGCTATTTCAAACAACCTTATTTAAAATTCTGGGAATAAGTTTTACTTTCATTAAAAATGTCATTTAAAAAAAATCTAGTCTGAAACATTGATTAGCAGAAAAGGAAGGAGTATGATTTAGTGTGTATTTTTTTTAATAAAGTTCAAATCAATGCTAATAGGTAGAAAATGACAAGCAAGATGTGTCAGTGACAGAAAAATGTAACCTTAGCTACATTTACTTATTTTCTAGGAATAAACTAGGCTAGAAAGAAACTAGTCTCCTTGGTGGGTACTATATCACTAGCCACAAGAACTTTTGTAAAGCTTTATATTTGATTTTCCCTGTTATTCCTTAAAGCTCTTTATTGTTGATATGTGAACCATGATCGTGCAATCCAGGGATCTGGATTTTTTGCTTTTAACTCTCCTATTAATCCTCGCTGATATCAAACACGTTCCTTCTAGTTATAAGGAAAGAGAAAAAGAGAACACTCATACTTAAAAGCTCTCAGAAATTCTCAGCAAGTTTTTTTTTTTTTAATAGTGGATTTGCTTATCCACTCCATTAATCTACAGACTCATTCAGCTGTCCAGAGCTAGTAACATGCCAGTCCCCGGAATGGCTGTCTAAATATAAACTCTGGCTTAGGTCCTGGTGACTGCAGAGTTCCAGGACATTCACAGCCCACCGTGGAGAGAACTTCTACCTTAAATAATTTCTGTCCCCATTGTAACCTTAGAGATTTAAATTTTAAATAATGGTATTTCGTAGGATATAGTCGAGTCTCGTGAGTAAATATATAAAATACGGGCTCCACTAATTTCTTGTCTTATTCAGGAGCTCTGTGGAAGTAAAAAGGCTGTCTTTGTTCTTTTTACTGCTATCTGCAGAGTTAACCTTTGGTGACCTATGTGTAAGAAACAAAGGTAAGAGAGACCCATTCAGTAATTTTGAAACCCTAGGTTCTAGAAGAGGTGAAAATGAATTTGTAAGTAGAATGCTTATTTAATAACACGCAGATCCATACCTCATTGCTGACTTATTGAGCTTGATCTGGCTTTTCTGGTAAACCTGCTTCAATTAGTCAATCAAAGTATCGACTAAATAATGAGTTTTTATTATAGGTTCTACTAATTAGTATAGCTTTTCGAATTTTTTTATTGTGGTAAAATATGCATAACAAAATTGACCATTTTAACCATTTTTAAGTATGCAGTTCAATGGCGTTAAATACACATTCACATTGTTGTGATCTACAAATTGATATGTATTTCTAAACTTATGGATATAGAAGTCGCTACATACTAGGTACTTTTCTCATTGAAATAGAGTATAATACTTAGAGTAGATAGTATTTATTGGGTACTTATTAAGTACTGTACTCTCTCATTTATCTGACTGATTCTAAAGAGGCAGAGGTGGTTTATTTAGTCCTTGAAGTTCCCCTATCTAGGTCGAGAATAAGTAGATACTTCAACTCCAGTGACCACAGTTAGCCCATAAATGTTATAAAGATGGACAGTGGAAAACTGCCATTCAAGGATTATTCTCTCTCCATGAACCACTAGAAGACAGACAAAGGAAATGCTTTACTTAATAACTAAGGTGAAGACATTGTATGGTCAATAGATGAGGAAGATTTTTTCTAATAAGGGGACATCCTCATGAAATGTCAATTTTTTAAAGGATATAAAACTTTAGATACAAAATGATGCTATGAAATATATAATCATAAAAATGGGAGGAAAATTACCAATAACATATGATCGTTTGGTGTTCTGGATGCTAGGCTGCTAGGTAACTTGTAATTACCGGGTTTTTAACATGTACTTTCAGTTACAGGTTTATTGAATTTAGACGATTAGGTAATATTATCATCGTGAAATATTCAAACACTATAGAGGTATATAGAATAAAAATAAAATGTCCTCCATTAGTCCCCCCCATTCCAACCTCTCCTCCCTAGAGATAAAATCAGTAACCTATGGGTATATTTCCTTTTATCCTTCTTTCTGAACACAGCCATAAATCTATTTTTACATATAAATGGGATCATGATGCATATATTGTCAAGCTTGATTGTTTCTATGGTAGCACTGGAGCTTTTCATGTCAGAATATTTATATACCTCATTCTTTTTATCTATTAAATAGTATCAATTTGCCCTAACTTGTTTAACTTGCCCTCTATTGGTGAGCACTGAGGTTGTTGTCAGTTTTTTGATATTAAAACAGAATTGCAGTGATCGTCCTTAGTGTGACTCTTTATGTACATCTGCAACTATTTCTTTAGAATAGATGACCTGGGTGTGGAATTGCTTGGCTGAGGGGTTTACACATTTCAGAATTAATGTGTGGTACCCTTCATAAGGCTGTAACAATTGATGTTTCCACGATCAATGTTTAATACCCATTTCCCTGTAACTTTGCTATGCTGAGTATTGTCAAATATTTACATTCTTGTTGATCAAATGGGAAAAAATTATATTCTAATTATTTGTGAAATTAAGTATATTTTTAGATTTTATTGGTAGGGGAGCATTAGTATTTGTGTTTCTCTGTATCTTCTGTTCATGGTTTGTGCTCTTGTTTTATTTTTTATTTTTGGCTCTTATTGCTTTGTAGGAGTTCTTTAGGTCTTCTAAAAAGTATTTTTTTCTCTGTTATAAAAATTGCAAAAATTTTCTCCTATTCTGTTGTTTCCCTTTTAGCTTTATTTATGGTCCTTTATTATATTTTTAAAATTTAATTAATGTCACCCCTTCCCCTTTTTGTTTATGGGGATTTATATCTTGCTTAATAATATTTCTAAATAATATTTCTTGCTTAATAATAATAATATAAAGGTATTACAACACATAATTTCTTGTGTCATATTGATAGCTTATTATGATTAGCTTTTTACTTTAGAATTTACTTTTTTGTATATCGCATATGGATCCAGTTTGATTTTTTCTTCAGATAGATAGCTAATTGTTGCCAAACCATTCATTGAGTAGTATACCTCCTTGCTAATTTACAATGCCAACTCTATCACATAATAACTTCCTGCGCATACTCGAGTTTGTTTCTGGTTTTTATATGGCTCCTTCCTGTCCTCCTCCATTTTCCTATTACATTTTCTCTTGCAGAGAAATTTTGGAGTCTCCATGGTAAGTGATATCTCACTGTGCTTTTGATTTGCATTTCCCTGATGACTAATGAGTTGAATATCTTTTCATGTGGTTATCAGGTATTCGTATATCTTTGGAGAAATGTCTGTTCAGACCCTCTGCCCATTTTTTAATTGGATTATTTGTCTTTATTATTGTGTTGTAAGATTCTTTATATATTTTAGGTATAAGTCCCTTATCAGATATAGAATTTGCAAATATTTTCTCCCTTTACATGAGTTGCCTTTTCATTTTGTTGATTTAAGCACAAAAGTTTTTAATTTTGATTAAGTTCAATCTATCTATTCTTTTGTCACTTGTGCTTTTGGTGTTATAGCTAAGAAGGTTTTGCCTAGCCCACAACGATGTTTTCTTTTAAGAGCTTTATAGTTTTAACTCTTCTATGTAAGTCTATGGAGTTTATTTGGAGTTAATTTTTGTGTGGTACAAGGAAGGAGTCCAACTTCATTCCTTTGTGTGTGGATGTGCAGTTGTCCTAGTACCATTTTTGAAAAGACGATTTTTTCCCCATTGAATTCTCTTAGCACTCTTGTCAAAAATCAATTGACCATAATTGTTAGGTTTTATTTCTGGACTCTGAATTTTATTCCATCGATCTATATATCTGTCCTTATGCCAGTACCACACTATTTTGATTCCTGTGGCTTTTTAGTAAGTTTTGAAATCAGGAAGTGTTAGTCTTCCAACTTGGTTCTTTTTCAAGGTTGTTTTAGCTCTTCTAGGTCCCTTGTATTTCCATATGAATTTTAGGATCAGCTTGTAAATTTCTGCAGAAAATCTGGCTGGTATCTTGGTAGGAATTCTGTTGAATCCGTAGATCAGTTTGGGGAGTATTGCCATCATAACAGTATTAAATCTTCCAGTCCATGAACATGGGATGTTTTTCTGTCTACTTGTATCTTCTTTAATTTCTTTCAACAATGTTTTATAATTTTCAGAGTACAAGTTTCACACTTCTTTTGTTAAATCTGTTCTTAATATGTGTTCTTTTGGATGCTATTCTAAATATAATTGTTTTCTTTATTTTTAGATTGTTTATTGCTAGTACTGACAAAGTTTTAATTTGCTTTTATTATGAATGAAGCTGAGCATCTTAAGTTTAAGGAGCATTTGTTTATCTTTCTCTTGATGTGTTTGTTGATGTCTTTTGCCCATCCTCCTATCAGGTCCTCAGGTTTTTTTTTCCTTGTTGAATATTTATTTTAGTTTCTTTTTCCCCTTGTAAACACATTTGAAACTCTAATTTTCCTCTCAGTATCATTTTGTCACTCACTTTCAATACTGTTGTATTACTTCTTGTCATGGGTTGGATTGTCCAAGATACAAGCCCTGAGAGTGAGGTTTCAAGCACAAGTTTTATTGGGTGGTGCTCTTTGGAACCACACCTGGAGGGAATAGAGGGAAGTAGGATTAGGCAGAAGAAGTTGAACTGCCATATAGTTGTAACAAAGGCCTCACTCAGTCCCAGGGTTGCTTAGAAGCTGAGATGGCCTTTCTGAGATATACCAAATTGAGTCAAGGGAGTTGGCCCATTGACCCCATTTCCATCAGTCGTTGGAGGTGAGCTGTGCCCAGAGAGGTGGTGTAATCTTAGGGGAGGGACTCAGCTATGAGCCGTAAGCAGGCAACATA